AAAAAAACGCTAAAAGGAAAAAAAATCTGTATAAAAAGATTAATTTCTTACTAATATAAACTGAAAAACTTTCTTACCGTCCTGGTGATCAATTTGATAACTTTAAAATTGTGGTTGTTACCCTAGGGATTTGAAAAATACAAGAAGTTTTGATTAAAAAAAAAAAAAATCGAATTCATCCCATTTTAAAACGCTAATTAGAAATCTGCAAATCCCAGAAGGAGCTCCTCTTACAGGGCTCACAGCTCTGATCAAAGCAGATTTAGCCTTTCATGCATGAATTATGATCATTTCAATCAGGATTTTTAGGTGTATTTGATTTTCTTTTGGTATAAAAAAGGGGAATTCTTTTTTGTGTCTATTTAAGGATTTTTACAGATGTGCAATCAGACGGACGGCAGAATTTTTAAGACTTCTTACTAATGAAATACTGTATGTTACAATGTGAACATACATACAATGTTAAAAGAAGGCATAAACATAACACTTTGCATGCAACTCTCATCTTATTCTAATATTCACTACTACCTGATCCCTTTTTCTACTCCTGCTCACTCAACCCCTTGATTTATTTTAGTCTACCTCAGCTTGGCTTATTGTGGATATTTGAACTATTTTTCCCCCGCATGATGCACCAGTGTCCACTGGTTTTAAATAGCTGCCCATCGTAGTGACCACAATGCAGGAAAAGGGTTCATTCTGGTCCCTGCTGTTTACTTATTTTAAGGCTTCAAGGTCTGGCCAATGGTCAGTTGCTATAGTTAATTCTGAAAAATCTTTTTTTTTTTGCCTACATCCTTTCCATCAGAAGTATTGACTCTAATCCCAGTTGACAATAATTTTCCAACATCCATTGATATGCCCATTTAGGATCCACATCTAAATTGAAAATTGAAGATTAAGGCAAATTCTTGAACTTTGTAGTGCTATCAGATGTTTTTTTTTTCCGTTAACAATAATTTGGATACCAACTGCTATGAATCCCCAAACACCAGATGTAATCAGTATGAGTTCCTCTACTTGGCTCCAGTACCGTTAAATGATCATGCTAAAACAGTGCCTTGGGGCTTGTCTCCACCACAACTGAACCTGTATTTTCTTGTTTATCACCAATTAGAACTCAGTTAAAACGTTGGGGGAATTCATATCCTCCGCTTATGTGGAACGGTGCCTCGGTTACATTTACAAGCTAATTCTGAGCAAGACAGCTTGCTTAAAGATAAAAAAAAAAATAGCTTACCACTTGAGCTGTGAGCTCAATCCCAGACATCTGCAGCATCCAAGGGGGTCCCTGGATCAGCGCATCAGATAGCCACACTGTGACACTTCCCACTTGGAGACAAGACGACTGTCACAACATTTGCCCTGTCTGCCAGGAAATGCACTCTTCAATCAAATCCTTTATCTGTCGAGACCCAAAGAAGATTCAGTCGCATCGTGCAGCTTCAGAAAAGTGTCAAAATGGATTAGTATTTTTTTCTCCTATGTAATTTGAGGCTGTGTGACCAACAAATGACAAAAGCCATTATAGAAATTCTAGCTGTGACAGGACATTAGTCTCAGTGAGGACAAACAGGTTTTACAGATAATATGATGGAAAATTGAGGAAAATGCAAAAAAAGATTGCTTTGTGGAAGATATTTGACTAAACTAGTATTTGTGTGTTTCTGGTTATTGTGCAAAGCTAAGCTAACTCTTTGCTAGTTTCAACTAAAAACAATACCCTGTATTGAAGTGGAAAATGTTTATCTAATCATACTTTGTTAAAAAAGGTTGAATTTCCAAGAATATTTAATGGTAGCTTAATGTCATATATCTAAATTGCTTTTATAGACTCAACATCCTTCCACATGTAGCTCTTTTTCTTTGAACTTATGACATGCTAAAAAAAGGCTTCATGCTAGTTTAGGGTAACTGAATTTAAGAAATTTAACTGTTGTAGTTTTTTCAGCTTTTATATAATGTACACTTTTTTGTTGTTGTTTTACATTCACATTTTTTAAATCAGTTTTACTGTGGTGCACTTGTTATCTTTTGTTAGCTGTAGTGATTCTAGGAATGAGATGTGATGCTAAAAGCTAAAAGCTACCCAGCATTTGTCTAGTTGCAGGGCAGACTGGGCGTCAGTGCACAGTGTCAACATTTATTTAATGTTCCACATTCCAGCCACTCGGGTCACGTCCTGAATTTTGTCCGTTTGGCTGTGAATTAACGCTGCTCCGGAGTCACAACACAGCCCCGCAGCGATAAACTGGAAGCAGCATGTGCAGAGAGACAAGGCAGCTTTGTGTTTTGAAGGTCCGGCGTACCTCATGCAGAACGTCTTTGTGGTTTGGCTGTTATTCAGAGAGGTAGTTTTGCTTTGAGTGAGCGGCAAGCTTGTGCGTAGGCCATCATTAAAGATGCAGATTAATTTGTGAAAGGCCTGCAGCCTGATCCATTGAGCAAATGGGCCTGAGGCTGAGCCGTTAGTTGTTAATTTGTAATTGTTTTGTCACGCGCATTGAAGATATTGTATATTGTAAATCAATACTTTAGGAGCCTGTGAAGTTTGGGCTAATGCCCTAACAGTAGAGCTCATCAGAATTGACAGTTTACTGCATATTTAGTTTCTGTTTTCTGCTTTAATGAAATACCATAAAGTCAAACTGACACAATGTTAGTATTTTTGGCAAACTAATCAATGAAGCTCCTCTTTAAATGATTGGTTTTCGTATTACTAAATAGGAAATATTGTACTAGTCAACTGTAAGGTCAAATTTAAAGTGTTTGTGGCCTCAATCACAAGAGGCACAAATTATGCATATGCACAAATTAATATGTTGACCACAAAACCCCACAGAGCATTTATATTTCCTTACTTATACTTCCTTATACTTAGCTTTAGCAGCCAATGGGAATCAACCTCCGATTTCAGCATTTTTAGTTTTTGTTATTATTCTGTCTGTTCAATTGTTTGTTTGTTTTTTTTCTTATATGTTTATACTGAGAGGTGCATGGAAGATTTGAACCTTCCTCTGCACACACTTGCAGACATGCATGTATACAACCTTAAAGTTACTCAACAGGAAGGAAGCATGACAACAGGAAATTGTCTAACAATCCAGCCCTCTGACCATGTTTGTGTCAGAGTATTCTTGTGTGTGTGTTTGTAAATGGTTTTTCTACACTAGGGAATGTAAATAACAATGTAACAACACCTCCTACACATTAAGGCCTTCAGCTCTGTCTCTCGCTGTCTGTCTTAGACACACACACACACACACACACACACACTCATATAAATATTAGCATATGTACCAGACAGGGAAAGAGAGTGTAAGCCAGTGCCAAACTCACACTGGGCAAGCCTGTGGTTGCTATGGAAATGCAGCCATGTGATGGCAGAGATGGTCACCGGGGAGACAGATGCTGGCGACCCTTTTTTGAGACGGGGGAGGGGCAGTGTGGAGAGTGGGACCAAAGAGGGGGTTCTTTAAAAGAGTTGACATATATTATTGGTTTAATTAATATCACTTTTGAAATTATTTGAGCTTTGTGACACATCTGTATCCTAAACTAAACGCACACGTTTATTTATGCTTCTGTCTCACCTGATTAAGGTCTAATCTATACGAATGAGACCTCCTGACCTTTGACCTCCCCCTCCACAGGTCTTCACAACCTACTCCAACGAAGATTACGACAGGCGCAACGATGACGTGGACCCCATGGCGGCCTCGGCCGAGTACGAGCTGGAGAAGAGGGTGGAGAAGCTGGACCTGTTCCCCGTCGAGCTGGAGAAAGGTTGGCCGGCGCGCGCCTCGGCAAAATCGCAAAGAGTCACTCAGTCAAGGCTCTTACGTAACCGGCACGCGCACACAAATACGCACGCACACTCTAACCGACAGGGGTTCTGCGAGAGGACATACTCTGTCTGCTCGCAGCGCCGTTATCTCCTTATGGGATTAAATTTAGCGCGGATTAGCCTAATTAGCAGCAAGTAATTCTGGAGGTAATGGATTTGAACCGGCAACCATGCATGACGGCTGCTCTCAGCACAACGTAATGTGTATCAGCACTGAAAGAAGATTGATGTGTAATGGTTTTACGCCACTAAGAAAAAGTAATTGGGAATATATTCTAAATTATAAAAGTTGTTTATGTACTTGGTAAGAGGCAAGGCAGATTTACACGTTTTTTTTTCTCCCCCGGTATGTGTTTCTCAGACAATGACGGCCTGGGTATCAGCATCATTGGAATGGGCGCAGGAGCCGATATGGGCCTGGAGAAACTGGGAATCTTCGTTAAGACGGTCACAGAGGGTGGAGCCGCGCAGCGAGATGGCAGGTACGCCTGTCTGTGCTTGTCCTGGGACCTGTTAAGACCAGCTTGGCATAGAACCCCTGACTGAAAGCCAGGGACAATCCTGAAGGGAAAACAATCCTCACTAGACAGATAAACACAGAGAAAAAGATTAGTTTAGTCTAAGACCAATTACTTGTTGGCCGCTTAAAAGTCTCACCACAACTGTCGTATTTGCAATTGTTTTATTTTTTGTTTGTTTTCTGGAGAGAAAGACAGTATTATTTACATGTAAATTCCACCGTCAAATGGAATCGTGGCCTTAGAAAAAAAGTTTTTTGTGCAAATCCTAATTGTAGAAGCTTAACTTACGATTGTGCCACCATGGTTAAGCTCTGAGCTACAAATAGATCCAAAACTCCAAAGAAATGTGTAATCTTAACAGATTTTTAGCAGGTGGAAGAGAAGCACTTTTCCCTATTTGACTTATTTTCTTTGCCTTGGAGGAAGGTATGATAAAGTAGTAATTTAAAGCAAGTGTAGGGGGCACAAGTACCAAAGCACATTTAAATTAAATATTGATGCGGCAACTTTGTTCTAAACTATTTGTGTGAGGATCAAACCGTGCTGTGCGTTGTCAGAAATGCACTGAGCGCGTTGAGTGAAAACATGTTCATTCTGAGGACAGCAAACAGACGCAGGGTTCTCAATCTAAGAACAACCCCTGAAAAGAAATCTCAAGTGTTGTGCTTCTCTATTTCAAGAGAGATGTGGAGTAAAGTGTTGGATGATCAAAGGACACGCTGTGCATCTACACAGAAAAAAAAACAGCATGGATAAAGCTTGCAGATTTGTAATTACGGCTCAGTCTTTGAATGTAACACATACATAACACCAACCTCTAAAAGTTGGTGTGTTTTATTTCTCTCACTGATCCAGAGAAGAACAGTAAGTACAAGAAAATAAAGAATAATTTCATCAAAGGCAATGCTTAAATCGTGTCAGCGAAGTTATTTGGACGAGCTTGGCAATCCCTTCCACAAAGCAGACTTGTGTAACATCGACTACAAAGACTCTTTCTTTGTCTCTGACATCCACTTCCTGTTTATCTGAGCATCTTAGCAGCTGAGAATTGCAGCTAAATGACATTTTGGCTCCAGGGCCTTTAGATCATGGTGCTGTTGGTCGAAAAAATTACACATATTTTTGTATCCATGTCTGGATCATAATGGTGTAAAGCATACTCTGTGGATTGCATCTATGTGTGTTTGCAGGATCCAGGTGAATGATTTGATCGTGGAGGTTGATGGGACGAGCCTGGTCGGCGTTACTCAGAGTTTTGCTGCCTCTGTCCTGCGCAACACCTCGGGCACCGTCAAGTCAGTACTTACTGCTTGTAAACTTGCCTTGTCGTTTTTTTATTTGTGTGCGTGAGTTGCTTTCAGGACATTATCAGAGGTCAAGAGTTTTAAGGGGGCGATTGTTTTTTCCGTCAAACGCTTCTCCAGGTTTGTGATTGGCCGAGAAAAGCCAGGGGAGCAGAGTGAAGTGGCCCAGCTGATCCAGCAGACTCTGGAGCAGGAAAGATGGCAGAGGGAGATGATGGAGCAGAGATACAAACAGTACATGGATGAAGATGAAGAGGTACGTGCTGAGAAACATGCACAAGTGCACAAGCATTCACATGAAGCCTTTGCACTGTCCTGAAATCTGGAAAAACAATGGTGGTTCGACAATGCACTCTTCACACAGATTTAATTTGAAGGCAGGAAGTGTGTTTTATCTGTTTGTTTGTGTGTGTGTGAGACAAAATGTCGTCTGCCTGCAACCACACGGCCTGTTGTTTAAAACTCAGTCTAGTTCCTCCACCTTGTGGTCAGAGAAAGGAACTTAAATCCCAACAACTGGCAACACATTTCATTATTATTTAGTAGGAAATAACAATTCATTTTTTAGATTGTAATGAAATGTTCAGTTTGGTCTTTTACTGGGTTTAGCTGACTGAACTGATTTCCTCCAATAATTACAGAATGTCCAGAGAGTGAATTTTGATCTCCAAATTATTTTCAGTAGTTTGATGATTTAATTATTTAGGGATAAAGCTCAGCTGTCCCTGAAGGTCTCAAGACTACATATGTCCCTGTTTTACTTCTGGAAATAGGACATAAACATGAGCATTTTGTGTATTCTGTGCTCATGTTTGTCACATTTTTATTTTTTTAGACTAATCTAATGTCTTTCAGTGAAGTTATTTTTCTTCTTCTAATTATCAGGTTTATGTGTTAGGTGGAAAATACAGAAATATCAGAATAAGTAACTAAGATTAGAATGTGGGAGATTGAAAAGGAGAGAAACCAAATATTGAGTGTGAAGTTCAAATGCATTTCAGTGCTGGAAAAGAAATAGAAAAAAAAACTAATTTCCTGTTTTTATAGTTCAATCTTCTACCAGACACGCATATTGTACCATTAAATGTGCCCTGTATCAGCTGTGTAAATACCATTTTCTTTTAACCCTACCTTGTAATGCAGGCTTTCTGATAACAACCCCTTTTAAATACAATTTTGTTTGACATTCTCCACTTACCTGCTGTATGAAAAGGAAAATTTAACTTTAACCTGAAATGAATTACGTCAATGTTGTTTGGCTGAAAGTGTTATCTATTTGTGATGTCAGGCTAAAAATGCCACAAAATTAAAGAGAGCCTCCTCCCGACTTGCAGCAGACGCTTTATTTACATGGACAGGAGAATCTGGCCTGGTTTTATGTGATCTAATAATAACTGCAGTTTGGTATAACGTTTGATTTTGCTTCATATTCTAAACTTCTAACAGTAGCCAAAAATATAAGATTTATTGTCAACATGGGGAAAAATTAGGAAGGACATGATCTATTTGTGGCAGATTTGCCTGTTGAGAGAGAATAGAATAAAATAAATGATAAGCAGGTTGAAATCTGTCATGTTTAATCGGTGCCGTGAGTGATAAACCCATTTTTGTACTTGATTAATAATTTGTTATCTACACAAAAATCTTCCTCCACATGAACTTAAACTACACCATAAAGTGACAAATGACTCAAGCTGTTGGCTGTAATTTATTCTTTACTCTTTGTGTTTAACGTCAACATAAATGTCAGCCGAGCTAGCAAGAAAATAGAAAAAAAATGCTTGGTCTAATGCTTGACAAATGTTTGGTCTCCAAGCTCACTGTTTGGCAACCAAGCTCAAAGCACACAACGTGTTCCTGTTTATTTGGCTGTATTTACATAAAATGCCCGAAATAACACAAGTTTGCGATATTTCATCAAAGAGCTGACTGATAAATCATGTGGAAACTAGACGAAGTGGAGGATAACAAAAACAGGGACATGGCTACATGAAACTGTAAATTAGATTGACGGGAGCAAGTAGTGACTTTCAAAAGAATTTGATATTAAAATACAACAAATACCTGACATGGGCATTAAGCATTTAGAAAAGGTGGCTGTCAAGATGCCATTTTTAAAGAAAAGGCTGAGGTATATCAAAAGACACAGGAAGTGGGCTTATAAACACGTCAGATGGATAGATTAACCCCCCCCAGAGCCTTGACCTCAATATTGAACAGTGTGTGATCATTTTGACAGAACAGAAGGGCCAAAGAAGGGCTGTGGAATGCCTGGAGAATTAAGAAATAAGAAGTAAAAAAATTATTGTACCAAATGAAAGGAATATTTTCAAGCCTGTTGGAAATTTCTATTTGTACTTCAATTTACGTTTAATATTTTTTTAGTAAATAACTGCACCTATTTTATATTTTGTTGGACGAAATATGTAAAGAAAAGAGGAGGCATTTCTATGAACTGTTGTTTACTGTGTTTACAACAGACTGGCGAATATGCAACCGACGAGGAAGAGGAGATGAGCCCAGTGTTTCCCAATTCCATTGAGGTCTTTGATCTTGCCGAGAACCAGGAAATGCTGTCGCCCGTGGAGCTGGACCCCGAGAAACTGGCCCACAAATTCAAGGAGGTATCGTACAAAATCCTCCGACGATGCCGTTTTCAGTAGCAAGGCTCATCAATTTCCCAGTAGCGAACGCAATTTAAAAAAATAAGTCGTATTAGATTTTAGATTGCCCTGTGCTTCTTTTCATAGCTCCAGATCAAACACGCGGTGACCCAGGCAGAGATCCAGCTCCTGAAGAGGAAGGTGAGCCCCACTGTGTACATCCAGTGCCCCTTCTAAACCACAATGTCCAGTTTGTGGGACCATAACACGATTTCTCTTGCTGTTCTCAACCGTGACTTGATGCCATCTCCGCCTCCCACTTGACACCTCCTTCTTCCGACCCTTTTACCTCCAGCTGGCTCATGCCGAGCAGGATAAGCTGCGTTGGCGGATGGAGCGTGCTCAGTTGGAGCAAAACATCCGAGACAGTAAAGAGCGGATGGAGAAACTCGAGGGCTACTGGATGGAAGCGCAGTCCCTGTGTAAGGTAATTGCTTCGAGAATTAACGTTAGAAGATAACATAGATTTGCCCATCATAAAGGCGCTCTCTCATATAATGGTTTTGCGATGTGCTGTCATTTGCCGTGCGCGTGCTTTCAGGCTGTGGATGAACACTTGAAGGAAACCCAGGCTCAGTACCAAACCTTAGAGAGGAAATACAGCAAGGCCAAGAGGATAATCAAAGAATACCAGCAGAAGTAAGGAAAAGGGGACATAAAAGGGTTGGGAGTCAATGACATAATGAATTATATTTAAAAAAAGAGGCTGTATTAATTGATTAAATGCCTAATTTTAATTCAGAGTTCAGATGTTAATTTTAAGACCTTTTTTGGAAACTTTTGTTTTCTATTTTATCTCACATAACACTTTGGAATTGAAAGATGGATTGTTTTTTTCCCCACACATTTCTGTTAATGTTTGTGATTTTTAGGGAGATCGAATTCCTTAAGAAAGAAACGGCTCAGCGTCAAGCAGAAGAAGAGAGCAAGGCAACACATAAAGAGGAGACGGACAACCTGCAGGAAAAGGTGGGTCACATAGCCAACCTTTCTCTAAACCGGTGACCACTCTTAAACTGAAGCCAGCCAGGCCCCATGAGCAAAGGCCTGGTCAGAAGGCCTGGTCAGTTACCCTGTCCAGCGAGGGACGCTGGGCTCTAATGTTTTCATAGTCTATAGAGGGTTTTCTGAACCGCACTTTGTCTGGTCCATCTCCTAGAGAGAATTAATTGTTGAGAACCTTTATACGGAATAGAAAGTTCCTTTAACCCTAGGTCTGTGGAAATGAGTCATCCTTTGATCTAAAGAGCTATAAAAAGCCTTTAGGAAATGCCATTTCAACTTTTTAGTCAGGCAAAAGACTTGAAAAGATGTTCTAATTGTTGAAGATTAACCATTGTAGAGTAGGATAATCTATTACTTGATTTTTATTCTCTGTCAAATTCTAATTGCGTCAATCAGAAATGGAATCGGGATGTTTCTTATGGGAAAAAATAACTATTCAGTAAAAGCATAAAGTACAAAAAGAGCACCTTAGAAAAAATGGTCTCAGAAAGAAAGATGATACAAGAAACTGCATGAAAATGTATCAATAAATTGTGATGAAGTTATGATCGAATGTTCCTTGATTGTTCAAATCTAAATCCACCAGTTGCCCCAATATTTTAACAAATTCAGGTTATAAATATTGCAGTGCACCAACTTCTTAATTTATATTTCAGTGACTGAGCAGTTTGCAGTGATTAGTGTAAGACAGTGTAAAACTAAAGACCAGACTGGATTTTCATCCTTTTAAATTCCCTTTAAAATAAACATTGTGATGTTGTATGATGCAAAGTGGAAAAAAAACTTTCATAACTAAATTATTACTTGTACTTTTAGCAAATAAATGTGAAGACAGTGTATGAAATAGAAAGACAGGGATGTCAACAGACTGTTTTTAGAACAACAAAAGTGTTATCACTATTCATAAAACCATTTTGTTTTGACAACAGTCATAACGGGACATGAAGTTGCCTAAAGCCACAAGGTGTCAGCACAGAGACAAAGCTCAACGTTTGTCCATGGACTAACTCGCTCACTTGACTATGATAGATTTACTTTAGGGGAAAAAATTCTGGTCAGTTGTATGGAGTTCATTATTGGCATTTTTCCACAGATTTCCAACTTGGAGACCAAAGTGGATGCCTTGAAGACCCCCTATCCATCTTAGACTGCTGCTACTTCCAACCTCCTGTCTGTGACCGGAAGTGGAGACGTTCTGCCTTCATTCCAACCAGGGCTGTATTATATCCCAATCAAAACACTCACAGCGCAGACAAGCGGAAAGCGAAAATATGTTCGAGGAATACATTGGTCGAAACAAAAATAGAGGTAAAGACAGTGGCGTATGAAGAGGAAAGAAGCAATCTCTTGTTTGACACCACCCAACGGCTCATACCTCTGTTGGTAGAAAACCAGTCCCACAGTGCGCCACCTGCAATATCCAGAATCCTCCTAGTGTGTCTTCCTGTCAACCAGCTTGGCAATCAAACACCGTAACCACAATTGTGTACTCTATTTATCCATCATCCACTTTTAGTTTGTTTTCCTTTTTATATCTCCACCTCGACAGTTTCTGACCAGGTTCCATTGCTCATTCACCTTTATTTTACAAAAAAAAGCGCTTTTAACCACCAGGCTCATCACAAAGTGCTTTATAGAGCGACAGAGGGCATGAATGCAGAAGAGAACAGAACAAAAGGACGGATGATTGTTGCTGCTTTTTAATTATTTAGCATATTTTTTTGGCGCTTTTTCGTTATTTTTTCTGGTAGAACTTGGGCAGAGACTCGACAGGATCCTTACAAAGAGGATCAACTCTGAAAAGTGACCGCCTCGTTTTTGTTGGGGTTTTTTTTCTTTTCATTTCAAAGTGAGAAGAGGAGTCTGGAATGGGACGCAAAGTGGTCACCGAACATAGCGATGTAATAAAAACAATAGAAAAGGGGCAAAGTATTCCTGGAGGAGAAACTGTGAAGTTGCAGAGAACCACAGAAACCCCCCCTGTCTGTGTTTTTAATTTGTTCAGCCTTAGTCTTCAAGCAGTGGGAGGAAACAGGCAGAATTCTTGCCTTTTAGGTCTGAACCACAAAGGCGCATCATGTGTATATATATTACTTTATACGTTTATTTAAAAGTGTTTATATTGCTTTCGTAAGTAGTGGAGAATAAGGCAGTACAATGAGTGACTGATGGTGCCTCGTGGTGGAGGGAATGGTTCCGAATTCCCTAGTATGTTTCATCTCTTTTTTATCAACATCAATGGCAAACAGGGTGTGAATAGTCTATTCTGTGCTTATAGAGCTTGAAGTTGGTGTATATTCGTTGGTTTTTACTTCAATATCTGTGGGTTTACATGCACACTAACCTCTGTTTATTCATGTAATATACTCTTGAGCTGGTGCAGGGACATGTTGGTTTCAGGTTTTCAAAATGTATTGTTTTAAACTGAGTATGCTAGCTTGAATGCGTTGGTGTTCCTATAGTGGGCATATACTTGATCATATGTTTCACCTCTCGTCTTTGTTCTCAACGTAACTTAGTCCACAACTTAGGACTCAAACCAGAATGTTGCTGTCAGGTTTCCAGGATATACGCAGAAGGTTTTGGAGAAAGTTAGCATTTTGCTAAGTTTAAGATCACAATAACAGAAGGTAGATACACAGATAGTATGTGAGGTCCCTAAACCAAGCACGGTGAAAGAAATGACAGAGAAATGAACGATAATAAACATTGAAACGTCGAAGTTAAGCGCATATGAGTTTTAATTTAATTGATGGAACTAGTCAATATCGAGTCAATATCCCTAACCATTGTTAGATGACCCAGATTTTGAATATACTGTAAGAATACATTGGATAATGTTGTCTTTTTCTTTTTTTTTTAAATATCAAATAATATATTATGCATGAGCATGTCCTGAAATGATGCTGGAATCTATTGGATAATGAAAATAGATTCAGGGATCAGTGATACTGTTTAAATTCTTCCGGCCAACATTTAGTTTTTTATTCGACTTAAAGGTTTAGCCATAACCTGATATATCTACATGTATATGTATTTAACAGACGCATTTGTCTTAAGCGGCTTACAAGGATCAGGGTACAGATACATTTAGGCAACTCGGGTTCCAGTTTTTTGGACAAGGACACTTCCACAGGTAGCCCAGACTCAAACTGCTAACCTTTCCATTACCAGGCGACAGCTCTTTTTCTGACTTAAAGCAGCCACATTTAAATGCCTCCAATAGACAGGCACCAAAATAGAACAAGGCCCTGTTACCCCTGAGCTCGACAATATATCATTCCAGATATTTTGGCATAATATAGACATTTAGCTCAAAATTCTAACCATGGTAGTTTTAAAGTAGTTGGTTGGAAGCTAAAATCTTAGATAAGTAGATGCAAAAGTACAAGATTACACAGTAAGTGTTCAGAAGAGACAAATAAATCAATAATCAGTCAGCCCTGTGGAACAGTGCAACTTCAGTACCTTTTTTTTCAATAATTTTCTTTACAACTAGCGTTTAACACACCAACGTATTCACACACATGGGACTTCTGAACTAATTCCATATGCCTTATGGCTACTATCTTAATTCTGTGTGAATACAAGATGTATCACATACTTGCATGTGCTTGTACATGCTGATTAAAAAAAAGAATTAAGATAAGTCTTAGTAAATTAACAAAAAAGGAGTGTTTGATTTTAAAGACATGTATTTCCCTAAGTGGAGGGATTTTAAACCACTTAATTGTTTTTAACAAAAAAATGTAACTCTAGATTTAACGAATGCTAAGAAAGTCATTTTCTATTTCAATTTATTTCAAATTTTTTTTGTGAATTTTTTTTCTTTGTATCAGCTAGGAGAGGGAACGTGCTATTGACTGACTGGTTTCTCAGCTCCAGAAGTCACGTTCAGCATTGTGTAGGTTCTGGGAATGAGAGAGGGGTACAAAGTTTAGTCAGCTGCCACTGAAATTGAACAGAATGTTAACTTTTGTTTTATATATAAAATGTTTCAAAACCATATTGTGGTTCGAACAAATTCCATTTGAATTGTATTTAATCTACATTTATCCGACCAAAGAAACTTTTTTTTCAACCAATTGAACTTGCATGAAGTAGCTTGCATTCACAATGCTGACATTCATAAGTAGAAAAAACAGTGCCAAAAACATCAATTTACTGATGCTAAGATTTATATTGGGAAAAAAATAGATAAATTAAAAGTGCTTCAAGCTCACTCCTCAACACTCCACATTTTGAGAAGCCAGTAGCTTAACATGCTTTTGAGATTTCTCAGACTTCTTTATTACAGATGAAACACTGACAAGTCACAGGTTTTACATGCTAGTCATGAAAAAAATCCAACATTAATTTCAAATTGCAACACCCAAAAGTACCTCCTGGAAAGAAAATACATTTAAGAAAATGACAAATGTTCTTTCCACAGTGTTTCGTGTTTCAGTATTGTTTATTTTCATGTAGTAATAGGCCTGCCAATTTCTGCCTGTGGCTAGCTTGTTAGCATGTACGTTCCAACCAATCATTCTTTCTAGTTGCTATTGCTATATGCTAAATTAGCCCTTTTGTCTTCTCAGATGTATACAGTACCACAAATGAAAGTCTCTAATAACAAACTTGTCATATTCTAATCAGTATTTGTGCTCTTCTGTTAGCTAGTGTATCCTTTTATGCTAATTTACCAGGATAGTTTAGCCTCAGAGGAAAGTTTAGTAAGACTTCGTAACGGGTATGAGCTACAGTCTTGTTCAGAAAGCTGTGTGCATGTCAACACACTCAATATCTCTTGCGTTAGGAGAAATGTATAGGGTCCCTGTGCCAGTATTAGACAACACGAGCCTGAGTTAGTTATAAAATACAACAAATACAAATTAAGAAAGTGTTTCATAACTGTTTTGACTTCCAGGAAGCCACTGGGGTTGTCTCAAGTTTGTCCAAGTGGTTGTTTGCTATATGTTGAGATGAACGCATTATGTTAGCTTTTTTTTTTAATCTTCAGATGGAAAATATTATGTAAAAGTGTTGGAAAAGGCCAGATTTTCATTAACAAGTTTAGCCTGTTGAGACGTGTGATTTAGTGCGAATAGACTGATTGGCCTCGTTACACTGCTGTTACAGTACAGTCTACGTGTTTATATAAATATATATTCAATTGTTCGGATATTGAATTGATCCAGTGGTGATTTGTTATTTATGTGAGCGGTAAAATGTTGTTCAGACGGATGGAGTTCACACACAAGGAACAAAATCGGAACTGGTGGAACATGTAGATGCCAGACACCGCAGCAGGTTTTTACTAGAACTTCATGTATTTGTCAATACAGCTTGCTGGCGAGCTCTGATCGGTCAAATTACATGAATGGACATCAGCCCAATACAATCTAAAGAACAAATAAAAAAATCTGGGACATTTTTGTCATCAACAGTAAATTTTATCATTTTTTTATTTGACCTGTCAATGTTATGAAAGGATGAAGAGTAACTGATTGTTTTTTTTTTGTGGTTTTTGTTTCATATAAATGTGTACATTTGAAACCCAAAATGATATTCACAAAAAAACATTCTGCTTGTCAGGGCAATGACATTTTGCACTTATTAGCAGCTTGATATGTTATCTAAAACTGCTTCAGTGCTTTTAAGGATTTATTTTTTTCCACAGTTCATTCATTAGAACAAAGAACTCTTTGGTAGTATAGTCAAGAATACAAATATGACACTTATCTGTCTGTCTGTGTTCAGAAACTTTTTGGCTGACTGAGAGATTCCAAACTCATTTTATACAGTTGGTGTTTTCATGTAAGATAATACAGCTAGTATTTGTTGGAAAAAAAAAAAAACCTGCAGTATCTTTAAATATTATTTTTACTGGATGAGAACAGTGGTTTTTGAGAGAAAGATGTTTTTTTGTTTTTTTTTTTTTTTTTCAATGGAATGAAAATGAGCCATAAGTAACTCTCTTGGAGTATTTTTATTTCCTGAATATTTTTATTACCTTGTCATCTCAAATGTTGAAACAATGTGAGCTGTACAATAGCTGTTCGATCACCAAACCGAATCTTGGTCACGATGGGTTTATGTGTAAACACAGTCTGTGATCAGTTTGCCTTTTTATGATTAGTTAACTTGCTGCTTTTGCCTCGACGAAGCCTTTTACATGTGTGCTGTCGGTTACCTGTCATGTCTGCCCATCGCTCAGTCTGCATTAAAGAATAGAAACACAATGCTGTTGCTACATGTGTTTTGAGGGGGGGTGGGGGGGCTGGAGGTGGACGAGGAGAGGGATAAATCCCGGGCAGGTTCCCAGTTCATCACACAGTTACACAGACACTAATGAGGCCGACAATCGTTTACAAAAATAAGCAATTTAGAGTTTAGAGTGCTGGGGCATTTTTTCGGATTGTGGGAGGAAGCAGAAAGATACCACACGTACATTAAACAGAAGATAGATTTTTTTTATCTATCTATCTATCTATCTATCTATCTATCTATCTATCTATCTATCTATCTATCTATCTGCTGCCTGTTATCTCTTTTTGATAGCTCAACATTCAACCTCTTTGTTTGGTGTTTGGACATTTTCTTTTAAAATATACAAGTCTTAAGGACAAGACATGATAATTGTCTGGAATGTCAACTAATCAGTCCAATAACCACCAGGCAACCCATCTTTAAAAACATCTATCTTCCATAAATCGACGGTTTAAACCTAAAACATACTGGGAGGATATGTTTATCAGTTAAAAACTAATGGAGGATGAAAACTGTGCAAATATGTAAAAATCCGACTAATCTGGTTTTGGATGCCAAAGTCCACTTGCTCACACGGGCCCGTTTTCATTTTATTGGCTGATCACTCATGATGTGATCTCAATATATTAACAATTTACATGATGCTTAAAAGTATTTCAGAAGACTGGACATTGCTAAAATAGAATGCTAAGCAACTCTAGTGTTGCACTGGAATTCTGTGGGGTCAAGAAAGCGTCTTTTAATGCACAAATACCAAATGTTCTCGCATCTACGGAAAGCTTTTTTGCATCGTTTTTCTGAAATAATCACATTCTCCCGTTCTGACGACGTCTGGATGGCGGCATGCAATCTATAGTTGTAGTAATCGTGCTTTACGCTGGACCATCACAAAGGTCGGATTCTGAGCCGTAGATTTGTTCGATTTGTGGAGTAGGCACCTTTTGTTTAATCTCAATTATCATTCTAGTGTTTTCAATGGTTCATATTGCATAGCCTCCCAACTTTTTTGGAGAGCAGATACAAGCATGTGCTCTCAATGTTTAGGATTTGTTAGACAACTGAAGTTACAGCTTGTGGCTGGTTTGTATTTTCCTCTTATGAATAGTACAAAGCCATTTTTATTACAATTCTCTGAAATCCCTACACTGTAACAGCAGTTTTTCCCCTATAAGTACTCTTGTCTTTACTTCTGTACATTGTGAATGAGAACATAAAGGTGGTTTTTTGAAGTTGAATGGTTCAATGAACACAGACAGGAACGTGTTTCAGGTCTGAAACTGATTTTTTTTCTCCTCCTGATGCCACCATATTTGTCTGGAACGATATCTGTCTATTAGCATTAACTAATAAAACATGTTGAACCCATAAACAAAAAGTTCCTTAGGCCTAAGGTTTACTTGTTCAATTGATCCTGTTTTTCATGTCAATGTAGATAGCTGTCCCTTTCAAAAATAAAGAGGAATGTTAGCTGTAGCATGGCTGCATCCAAAAAATTAAAAAAGTTTAGACGCTTTGGAGCATTTCATTATGTACAAAATATACCACTGTGTGCAAATCACCACAAAGTTTTTTTTTTTTTTTTCCCAAGGTCATATTTATTCAAATAAAGTACAGAAAATAAATACGAAACATTTTTGGAACATCTGGCAAAGTGACAAAGACCTGCTTCAGTCATGGTTGGCTTATCAGGAAAAAGCTTCCGTTTACTTTTCTGCTGACACCGCAATCTTGAGACTTCCCTGGAGACCACGAAGTTAAACAACTTTGGTCTAACTCACAACTATTGAGGACCGAAGATTAATTTCCCCCCCATTTATAGATTATTAGAAGGACCCTGCATTTCTGACCAGCAACTGAGTGCAAGGGATTCATTTTAAAGAGGAAACAAAAACAACAAACAAAACAAAACAAAAAGCCTCTGAATCAGAACCATCCAGATCAAAGATATGCTCGTTTGTGGAATCCCAATTTTGATCCTTTTCTTAAGACAAGAGGAAGCCCAGAATGATGGCACATTCAGTTTTATGGATGACCAAAGAAAAACACTTGATAAACGTCACATCCAGTTAACGAGATTAAAACGCGTCTGCTAATTCCAGTCCAACTTTTAACAAGTTTGTCTGACGCCAGAGGAACATCTAAGAACTATGGCAACTACACGGGCATGGCTAGCTGGGAAGAGTCTAGGACGAGTTGTCACGCATTCATATCAATAAACGGAGGTTAGACACGTGGGCCGGTGTTCGAAAGCTTGTGGATTAACAGGGAAGCTGCATATTCTGGGGATTTAAAAAAAAAAACAGGAGCTTGTGTGAATTAGTGGCATTGAATGGAGACACGACGGTGTATCGGACCGATAAAGGCACTGACACTCTTTCGGGTACAATCTCTCTTCTGATAAAAGACATTCGGCTCAAACAAATGTGTACCAAAACACTGATTTTAACGTTAAAACAACTAGAAAGAAAAAGAAAAAAAAAATGATGAAAGCGTGACATATAAATCTATTGAGGTTGAGTACCGTTTTCAGTTCAGAGCGAGGCAGTATGGTCGTAACATCCGACACGGACAGTGTTCAGCTTGAGAGGTGCGACTGCTTTGTCAATATACGTGTGTGTGTGTGTGTGTTTGTGTGTGTTCGGTCGGTTGCATTCAGTAACAAAAGGATTTAGCATTCATTTGTGTGCGTATTAAGTCTGATATGTGACTGTTAGAGCCTTTTTTTTTCTTCACTTTATATTCTTCATCTAAAAGAGAAATATGAGAGGATAAATCACCATCCTTTGCCCCCCCCCCTCTGGTTTGCAGAGATAAAACCCAGCCCTATGGTAGACAAAATAAGACCAAATTAAATAAGAAAGAAAAGAGAAAAAAAAGGAAAAAGGGCACCTTATTTCTGCAAAAACAGAGTAGTCCAAAATTATGGGGAAGAAGTGAATATTTTACTGTGTTTGGAGACTCTTAAAAACCAGTTTAAGTGTTAGTTTAAGGATCATAGCAGTACGATAAGTCAAAGAGGTCTCCCCAAGAGGATGCGTCTACGTGCGTGCGCGTTACAGCTCCTTCAGTCGTCCACGCCTATGTTACGGAAGAGATAGGACATGGACTCTCCGTTGTGGATGCGGCGGATGGCCTCCGACAGGATCATGCTGATGTCCACCGTCTTGATCTTTGGACACTGGAGCTTCTGGAGCTCGTGGGGGATGGTGTTGGTCACCACCACCTGAGGAGGGAGGAGACGTCAGACGAGGGATGCGGCTCCTGTGTGGAACGTCTGGCGCGGCCGCCCCGTTACCTCGTCGATGGCGGACTCCTCGATGAACCTGGGCGCCTCGGAGGAGAGGAGGCCGTGCGTCGCCATGACGAAGATCTTGTAGGCCCCCCTTTCCTTCAGCGTCTCGGCGGCGGCCACGAAGCTGTCCACGTCGTCTATGATGTCATCCTGCAGGACAAACGCTCCGTCAGGGCTCCCGCTGTGGCGGCTAAATGGCGCCATCTGGTGGCAAACTGCCGCCACAGACAAGTTCCACCGATAACGGAGGAATAGATCCGACTGCTGGTTTTTCTATGGGTGCAAACTGAGTCGTTTCAAAAGAAAAAGAAGCAGTTTTCTTTTTTTTTTCCTTGATTCTGTTGAGATGTTGAACAATTCTTCCATTTCTCCCTCTGTGAGTTAGCTTTATTTAGGGTTATTTTTGTATGGTTACGTGGCCATGACACCGGAAGAGGGAAAGAAAAGCCGACTATTTTTATCTTAAGGATGTTGGGTGAACAGCTGACAGCGCAGAGCTGCTTCTTCGCTACCAGGTTGGGTTGTCTGCACACCCATAAGATAAAAAGTGTAACTTTCACATCCTTTACATAGTCCTAGTCTAAAAAGTGTTCATTCCAAAGTCTTTTAAGGATTCTCTGCTTTCCGTGCAACTCACCAACAACACAGAACAGCTTCTTTCTTAAGGAATGAAAAAATAAAACACTTTTTTTTTTTAAAAGGCATCAATATTTTCCCCCCTTTTTTTGCGATAGATTCATCGACGTCTGCCTTTAAGGAAAAGTTCTACCACATTTGCAAGCTGTAGCCTTTTGAAGGCTCTTTTTCTGGAATTTAGAGTAATTATTAAGGTTAAAAAAGCCTACATATATGATACTGTTGTCACTTTTTTATAAAATCTATAAATGAGAATTTACAGAAAACTGTACCATTTCTTTAAATCAATGGACAGTATTAGAGATTTGTCCTATAGGGATGGTGACCTTAAACCACCTGTGTGACATGATGCTGTAGAAAAAAAAAGGGAAGGGAAAATAGCTTGACCGGTAATAAGAGCTCACCACTATGATGGCGATGCGTCCTCCAACGTCTCCGACCACAGTGATGGGGGGCTTCTCCTTGGGAATCAGTACTGGAAACGCGAATGAAGGAGATGGGTGAATGTGTGCGACTGCTGCAGACCTACTCAGTGTACGTCTGTGGTGTGTGTGTGTCTGTGTGTGTGTGTGATTTACATGGAATTTCCATGCTGGGGTGAATGGCTCCAGTGTTCTTGACCGTGGGCGGTGAGTGGCGCCCGTCCACCTGGTCTGACTCGGCATCCTGAGCCTCGCCGTGGATCACCGCTATGCCCAGACGCAGCCGCTCGGCAAACGACTGGGCCCTGTGGGGGGGGGGGGGGGGGCGGGGGGAAAACGGGTGAAAGGCAGCTCGCAGCTCTGGATTCTTACAGCTGAAGATGAGAGCCACCTTACCTTTTGGCAGAAGCTGGAGATTTGGCAACAATTACGGCATTCCTGTAGTCAGGGATCTGAGGGTTCATAAAAAGCTGGGATTAAACCAGAGTTAGGGCTCTTTTATCTAAATAACCAAAAGACACTTCAGTAGATGGGATCAGGATTATCTTAATATTTAAAAAGAGGAGAGTACATATTCATTGGTAGTAAATACAGCTCTGAACAGAGTCAGATTTTCTCATTTACTTTACGTTCTTTGCTCGGCTGGAAGCGGACAGCTGGTTTTTGAGTGAAGACACAAACAGACTGTTCAGTGTCTGATTTCTTCACCTCTTAATACATTCATCCATCCATTTTCTATACCGCTTATTCCTAGTAGGGTCACAGGGGGGCTGGAGCCTATCCCTGCTGACATTGGGTAAGAGGTGGGGTCTTGTTAATTATTATTCTTTTTTTTTTTAACAAGTCACATTCAGACTACACCGCATTTTGTCAAAATAAAGACCGGGAAAAGGTTCAGATTGGAATCCCTTAGTGTTTTTATCCAATCTGATTTCAAGCGGTACAGGACGTGTACAGTGTACTGTGTATTATTGACGAATTCTGCCCCGTTTTGCAATGTTACTGGATTTATCAAGTAAAAAAACGCCCCGTATTACTCCCAGATTTACTCCTCCCCCCCAAAAGGATACGTTTTACTCAGGAGGCAAATTAGAACCAGAAAGTGGGTCAAGGTTTAGGCCCATATGCGAACAGATTTTCAGGGGAAGTTTAAAAGGAGTCCAGTGGAAATAAAGACCCTTTTGACAATACAAACCGGTAACTAACAGGAGTGTGGCTCTGTCCGCAGCTCACTTCATGACATATTTTTTTTATATACTGTGTCATTGCTCCAGGTGAAACATGCAGCTTCAGTTTGAATTTTTCTGCCTGAAGTCCCGCTTACACATTTTCCAAAGATAAAGCCACCTATGGGCTGCGTTTCTCCCGTCAAGTTCAGAGGACCTCTCTCTTACCTCCTCCTGAATGTACTGGAGCAAGAATGGAGATGCTCTGAGGTTGTCTACTGGGATGTTGAAGAAGCCTTGAATCTCTTTCTGGTGCAGGTCCATGGTGATGAGGTGAGTAAGGCCTGCACAGACCAGCAGCATGTTTGTAGAGACGGCTACACACACATCAGACGACTCCAACCCCTTTCTTCTTACCCGCTTTGCACATCATGGAGGCGATGAGCTTGGAGACGATGGAGCCCCTCTTCCTCATCTTACACTGCTTGCTGTAGGGGAAGTAGGGGAGGACGCCGGTGATGCTCCGAGCGCATGATGTCCTGCATGCGTACACCATGATGAGCATCTCCATGATAGTAGTGTTCACGTCCCTGATTAAGCAAAGGGAGCAGAGAGCGGGATTTACCAAACCTGGACTGTTTTAGGGGACACGTGACATCAGTGTGGATTTTATTTTCTTACTTGGACACGGTCTGGATGATAAAGACATCTTTCCCTCGCACCGACTCTTGGATCTGTACCCGTGTTTCTGAGGAAAGAATTCAGAATTGAATTATCTAAATAGGACGGATGTATGAGCTCATACCATCAGCCAGCTTCACTGGCACCTCCCCGGCCTCAGCTGTGGGAAAGCCGAAATAGCAGCATTCCAAAAGTGAGAACAGAGATTAGGAAACAAAAAGCTTTCCAAACACAGCCGAACGTTCATCAAAAACATCAGACTAGACGGTGTGATTGGAGGCACTCAGAGTTCAGCCACTGACCACCTTTAATGATAAACACGGTGTGGAACAAACATCCATATCGGACTTCTTCAGGGAATCAGCGTTTTTCTGTGAGGGATGAGTCCCAGCCACACTTTGACCTTTGGTCAAGAAGTGCAACCTGCCACTCTTGGCACTTTCTTTGTTTGTTTGCCAAGAACATTTTTGAGCTGCTACGTGGTCAGTCGGTAGGTCAGCGCGTTGTTCCAACACAGCATAAAAAGCGTGTCAGGCTCATTTAGCTTTAGCTGGTGGTGAGGACCGAGTTCCACCGGGACACCAACGACTCATGGAAACCGCATGAGTGAAGGCCGCATTGAAAAAGCTAAGACAGGAAGCTGCCTCAGGACGACTGAGAGAACAAAGCATGAAGTTGACGTTTCAGTGGAGCTTTCCTTGTTTTCAGCGAGTCCGCGAGCTCACATCCCCCCTCCACTGACCAGCCTGAGTGTCAGGTTTTAGGCCCATTTAAGAAGAGTGTGTGCAGGTGAACTCACACGGGTGCAATGCAAGTGTAATTTTGACATGAGCTCACCTCTGTTAGCTTCCTGGTAAACCTGAACCTTCCCAAGCTCCACCCCGAGCCGCCTGACAGAGAAAAACAAAGAAAGAGAGTGAGAGAGATGAGATTTGAGTAGAAAGTAAAGCAGGAACACTTTCTCAACAATGAGCTATATATCTTTTTTTTTTTTTAAAGACAAAGGTTTCAGCCACAATCTTTTCCTTTTCAAGAGGACTTTGTGTCCCAAAGGCCAGAACTAAACCTCCATTACGTCAAGAAATAAGTAATCAATCCTCTTTAAAAAACGGTCCAATGTGTCCCTTTAGGGTTTATCTTTAACTTACAACATGCTTGTTAATTCTTATCCCCCTAAAACACCTAATATTATAGAAAACTGTAAGTACTTCTGTTTGAGATGTTACTGGAATTGTCGTTTGAAAAAAAAAACGAAAAAAAAGAGAGAACAACATGAGTTAATGTTGGCTAAAACGCAGAGATGAAGCCTTCATTTAAATTAACTCTACATTGCTAAGTCTACATGGGGTATGAGGGTTAAATATTGAATGATTGGGACATCTACACAATAGCAGAGGTGTTGATTTAAGTCAGTTACTTGTGCGTTCAGCCATCTAATAAAAGAAGAACTACAATGTGGAAAAGAGTTAACCTTACACCACCCGAGCCAAGTTATGTGCACATATGCTGGGTCATTTTAATACGTCTGTACGATTCCGGTGAGATTACAGCAGCTGTTAGTTTTTTTTCTGTGGTGTGTAAACACACTGGGTGTGTATCTGTGCCAAGCTGCAGGAAGCTCCTGAGAGCTTTCTCTGAAAGATTAATTTTCTCTTGCATGCTCTTGCATTCTGCTGAATCACGCTGTGTAAGAAATACAAATGGAGAAGCATTTAATAAGGAGGAAAAATAATGAATTTGCCTTTTGTCACCCAAAACTGTTCAATCCTGTTTCATATCAGAATACAAACTGCTTTTTAAGTTGCTGCAGGGTATAGAAATTTGGACAATCATACATATTCTAAAGAAAAACTCTCTAAATGTGAACATAAAGCTAACAGAGGCATTAAAATGATAGGAGAAGCTCCTGAGAGAATGTAACTTCCATCGCCGAAGACAAGAAATATAATGAAAAATCGTAAATAGTCCTCTCCACTGAACTGGTTTGTAGACCTAACTTTGCTGTCTGCATGAAAGCAGACATTAATGTGATCCTTCCTTTTTGGGGATACCAAAGAAAAACAGGACAGATTAAAGAGGACGACTTTTAACACCAAATCTAGAGTGGAGAACTCGGGTATGAAAAAGAACCAAAACTGTTAAATATTAACTCCTCGTGTTATGGTGGATGACTTTGCCTGAGGCACGCAACATCAACACGCACACATTTTTTCCAAACCAGCCCAGGAACCACCGATGTACACTGATCTTTGCTGACTGCAGCTGTAAACCTGCCGTACTCACTCTGATATCCTCTTTCCCAACTCGCGACTTGACGGATGCGAGTTGGCTGTGAAGATGACCAGGCCACCCTTGGTGTGGTTCATGTCTGTGGGGGCTCGGCCGCCGCTCTCCCCGCACTCAGGCAGTGGATCCCTGGGTACCCACGCGATGCTGAGACCTTCCTGCAACAGAAACGGAGCAATTACTCACTTAGAAGATTATTCAAAAATCTTAACAAGTCAGAAAAGAGGTACCTGAAGTACTTCTGCTAACCCAGCCAACAACCAAGTTTTCAGACTGGAGGCAGCCTGGTCACATGACTAACACTGTTGTTTATAGCAACATCATTTAATCATGAAAATGATCAGTCATTAGTCAGCATACTCATTCATTCTCGAGATCTGTCCTCATATGGTTTCCCTAATTTAAAAGATCGTACTTAGCTTGTTTACTGTTTATTTAGTATGTAGACAAATTCCTAATGTAAACCTCCCATTATACTTATTTCCTCTTGCAATTTCTACAACTTGTTACTTCCGTCTCACTGTAAAAACCTCGCCCTGCTGTGCGGATAACGCATGTAGGTCTGAAAAACGAAACTACAAAACAGTTTAACCACCGAAAATGAGTTAAAGTGTAAGGAACAACAAGGAGCAAATACAAAAAAACTGGGTTGTGATGAAGTGCCATGTGCATCCAGGGGAGAGCGGCTAAGACCAACTGGACGAATTATTATTTTCAGTTATAGATTTGCAAAGTTATCGAAGCCTTCACTGCTGTTCCGTGTGGTAGAGTTGGTTTCAAAAGCAACGTCGCACATGTTATGGGCAGAAGACATATCCTAATGAACTATCAACACAGTCACGACGTTAGCTTTGTGTTGCTAAGCTAGCTTGACAACAGAAGGTGGCATTCACTAGGTCAAATTGTTCAATTATGTGGTATAAATTCACTATAGGATTTTGACAAAAAAAAATCACATGAAGTGTGTTTAATTGTAGCATATTTGAGAGCAAAATCGTGAAAAACGGCTAGCCAACGTTAATGCATCAGTACTAACGCGATAGCTCGCACGTATTAATCTTGCCAGGGTAAAAGCTCCAGAATGCGCGAATTGATTTGCTATGCATCAGAGAGCAGGCCAAGCAAGAAACAGTTTAAATTATTTCACACAAGGAAAAATACAATACACAGTTGCTTACCAGCTTGTGTTTTCGGTCCGGTTACAATTTGCAACCAACAGTATTTGACTGAGCTATTCAAATCTCCGACTCTTCTCAACCTGTTCCCTTCACTCTGGCTGTATGACTGTGTGACGTTTGGTTTTTGACGGATGTTTACGCTGACCAATGAGAGGCCAGGAAAATGAGACATGGTCTGGGGCCTTGAGAGGCGTTCGAGTTCAGTTAAAAAAACACATACCCGTAAACATTATGTGTAATTTTCTTTACGTCTAGAGGCATTGTTGTAAAGTATTGTACACCAAAACATAGGTTGTTGCTTTGTTAAACTGTTAGACTAGTGTATGACATATTTAAATATCTTACAATAATGTATTTTCATTGTGTACACCTTTATGTAAACGTTCTCATATTTTACATATTCTACGGATACAGGCTTTTTTGTAATTAGCTAAAATAGTCGTGAGCATCTGTCGAAATGTATTTAAACGTTTTGGTGTTTTATTGATTTTTTCTTTACTTCTTTCTAGAGAAAGATATCATTTTTAATGATACTGACACTGACCACTGACAAAAACGTGATAAAGACACCTCAATGAGTCAGTGTTGCATCTAAACATGAAATAAGTATTAAATAACTTTTCTAATTTCTATCTTTGGTCTCCTTTTTCTAGCTACAAGATAATGTAGCAGTCAATGAACAGCAACAAATACAACATCATTTTAAAGACATAGGATGGTATTTTTCTCCAAAAACAGCACATGTACACATACACGCATATATATTAGCCTATATATCTTGGCCTTTAGTGTAGTGTGTAATTGATAAACGTGGAAGGAAATGAAGTGACAGCAAAATATAAACACCAATGAATAATATCTTAAAGTGCCTCATTAGTAATGATGTAAAGGGAGAAAACAAGGGTCCTATATGCTTCTAAAGTCATAAAAGCGTATTTGGGCAGGAAAAAAAAACACAGTGAGGAAAGTGTGTAGCAGTGTGGGGTCATTTAAATAATTTCCCTCTGGGATTATTAAAGTATTTCTGATTCTGATTCTGATTCTGATTCATTTCAACAAAGAACAGGAAAAAAGGCAAGCAAAATTCAAAGTAGAGTTTTGGGATGATCTTCAATTAGCCCGATGAACTAAGAACTTTCTTAAGAGTGTCTACAGATAAGATGAAAAAAACCTGTCTGACAGGGTTCATACTTAGTTGAATAATAAAGGTATTGAGGAAAATGTTCATTTAAGAACTTGCAAGATTTTTTTGCTTTGTCCTTTAATACGTTGTATACAAGAATGTTCAGTCATTTTTAAATTAAGCATTAACTCTACTCTGTGGGTTAATATTTACAAGCACAAAATTACAAATGCTCCACAACTTACTCATCTGCCCAATGACCGGTTCATTGGACAAACTGTAAAGGAATACAGTGTCAATCTTTCTCAGTGAAGGCCCTTTTGAAAGTGCATTTCTATAACCTACCACTTGAGGGAAGTGTGTTTTAACGAAATGTTCATACTCACAACCTCCCAACTTTAGCGCTTGATGAATAGGCTGACCTTAAATACACATGACATTAACGGGTATAACAACTGGTTATAGAGGTTCTTCATCTAACATAGACTAAAAAAAAGCCTTACATTTAAAAAAGATCAACTACTGAATAAGATGCATGCAGTAAGGATCACTTTGGACAAATCTCTTGTAGTTATCTTATTGCTGAATAAATTGGCTGAAATGTTTGCCCAGATATGTTTAAATGATTTTCTAACTCCTCCATTACATCAATATGCATGCGTGTCCTTCTATTGCTAGTGTCTGTTAACTTTTGCTTTTATGTTATTTGTAAGCTCTTTCTAACGTTTGCTTTACCTTGAGCTCCCCCCACCGCCGTAACTAAAGCCCAAGTGTTAATACACAGAGAGAAACAGAAGGGAGCCTCTCCTGAATCCAAAAAAAACAGCTAAGTTGTTCATGAATCCACAGTTTTATGCCCTGGACAAGATCCAGAGGAAGAAAATCACTGACAAAAGAGGGGAAGTTGTTCAGGTAAGTGCTTTAAGTGTATGCATTTATATACAACACATTAGTTAGTGTTAACTCAGCTCCAGCTTTGTGAGCTGCTTTTTCATTAGGCAGATTTATAAATACTCTCCCAGTAACACACAGGCTACTCTTCAGCATTGTTACATAACTCAGTGGATATGTGGAGGAGGCTGGAAGCAGCATCTCAGCACTGCATACTGCCCACACACACTCTCTCTCTCACACACACACACACACACGCACACACACAGACACACACACAACGGAAAGGAGTTAAAACTGGAGGAGGATGGACACAGAGAGAAAACACATTAGATTTTTCTGGTGGACGTCAGGGTCAAATTCACTGATTTACATTCTCTCGTCTTTCTTGATTGTCCTCACAGTCACAACATGCAATTTCTTTATGTAGGGAGCATGCAAATGTACAGGCTTGTGGACAGAAGCTTGAAATAGGCATTACTTGTTCCAGCCATCACGTCTTATGTTTCATGAAAGTAATAAATACTTTTTATGGAGGAAAGATTAAAGTATGGTATCACTTTACACAGACATATGTCCGAAATCCAGCTCACGGTATATTATCTGCAATTAACAAATACTTGTACAAATGTTCTTTAGAGTAAAGATCCTCCAAAGATGAATAATCAATGCAAGATCTTTCTGAACCAAGCTAACCTGGTGCCAAACCTCATTTAACACCAGTTGAAATTGTTGAGCATAGTCTTTATGGCCACATATTTTGATCTTTAGGAATGATTTCTATGTCTGGAAGGGGATTGAAAGACTTTTCCACTAATAATGTAACCTAATCTGTTAGAAATAGCCTTTATTGAAACTTCTACAAGCATTCTTGTGATACCCGTTAGCTGCAAGCTTGTTGTTTGTTAGCTCAGTGATTCCCAACCTTAGTCCTCAGGTAACAATGCCCAGCATTTTGTTTTCCCAGGTTTCCTCTTTTGAGCACACCTGATGCAAATAAATGAGGACCAGGGTTGGGAAAGACGACCAAGCCCCATAAGTATCAGCTCAACAACAGTAGAAGTTGTAAACTGAAATTCACCCTGAGATTTTAGTCATCTCTGAAGTTTACTCTCTGTTTGTGCAGTTCTACAGTTCCTGCTGACAAGCAGATTTAAAGCTGTTCCAAGGCTAATACTAGTCGACGGTCTTACCAGCACAAATCATCACTGACACCTTATTGATTTGCTGGACGCATAAACTCATTTCTGGAGTGACCAGCCTTAGTTGGAAGATTGTGGTTTGTGATTCCATATTACTCAGCAAATGCGACCCCTCCTCATTGTATCAATATCTATGCTAAAATAGAACTTGAATATTTAACAAGATTCTGTATCTATTCTCCAATACAGCCTGAACCCTCTTAGACAACTATTCTTGTAGTTCTTAGGAATAGGTCTCCAGGTTTCTTGAGGGGACATTCCAAAGACGTTTGGCTGACATTTGCTCCATTTACAGTCAAGATGACACATGCTGCTTTAATAATCTTGAGGTCCAGGCTCTGGGGAAGATTCATCCCTTGATTGGGCCTTATGATACTGACTTACAGTCCACTGATTGTGTTTTTTTGCATAGGTCGGCTCTTTTTCCTTGTATCGCCTTTTTAAAAACGGCTGCCTGAAACCCTAGAAGACACTTTGGCCAACTGTGGATCAACTGAAGGCCCAGTGGCATATTCCATGTGAAGTGCCAGATTCTTGCTGGATTTGTACTTTATCTGTTGGACACCTTTCATCTGCTGTCCAGACCATTTATGATGAGGCTTCAATGAATAGTCAGCAGATCAACTCTGTTATACCTCTCCTGTGTCAGATCTGATATACTATATTCTTGAAGGATCTTACTTTATTTCCTTTTTTTGTCCTCTGCAGTGCAGGTTTATTTGAATTCTTTTGGAACACACTGCACACTGTACTGAGATACAGCACATTTTAGCAAATCGTTTTTGATGGAAAGACATTGCTGGTACAACCACTACTCTAAATCAGTGTAACTGTGTCATCTTAGGTACTTCTGTAGATTGAGCAATACGAATTGGAAAAAATTGTGTGAAATGCATCTCTGTGACAGGCTGCAAATAACAAAAGTACCCAAACATAGTTGTAAATAGGTCCTTAAACAGTTAATTATCTGTTTTGTGGAAACACTGGTTCATCCCTTAAATTACATGCCTTTTTTTTGGTGAAATAAGCAACCAATGTAGAAGATCTTCAGGAATACTGTTTCTCAAGACAACCCTAATATGTTAAAGGTAAGGATCTCAAAGTTAGGGACTTTTTAGACTGGAATTTCATAATCCCATGATGTATATAATTATTTCATGATTAAATTATATATTTAATTATTAATAGTAAACGTAATTACTTAATTATGTTTTTACGAATTTTATGATATACTTAATTAATTAAAAGGAGCTTAATAGGTATGTACTTCATGATGTGTTTATCAATTTAATGATATATTTATTTATTTAT